GTGATGGAATTGCTGGAGCTGCATGCCGATGCTTTGTGCCTCCAGGGGCAGCACAGCTGGCACAGCCCCAGCCCCCAAACCCCCAAACCCCCAAACCCGTCCCTCCCCCCCAGGTGGTGCGCACGGAGAAGAACAGCCTCAACAATCGCTTCCTGCCCTGGGACCAGATCGACACCGAGGCCATCCTGTCCATCGATGACGACGCTCACCTGCGCCACGATGAGATCATGTTCGGCTTCAGGTGAGCGCCCTGCCCTGCCCTGCCCCCAAACCCCGGGAGTGCCAGGGATTGGGAGGGACAAGGGTTTGACAGAAAGGTCTCACAGGTATTTATGTGTAACAGAAAGATCTTTGAATGTGGAATGTGAAGAAGGAATAGAAATGATGGCGAGTTTTGATATAGAAAAAAAAAACAAAAAGAATTGCTGAGCCAGTCTGACTGGATAACTAAGAAGGCAAAGAGCAAATGGGTTGAAAGTGTTTTTTTATGAATCCACCTCAAACAAAAGATGTTTTTACCAAGTAAAAAAGTTTTCACAAGCAAACAAAAATGCCATGTTGCAAGTAAAAAGAAGAATCTCAAAAATTTCCTCTGCAAGAATGTCACTGTAGGGTTAGGGAGTGGTGAAAAATGCAACACAGGCTTCATCCAGAAAGCAGAAGAAGTGATTTATTGCAGGAGTAGGCACGTTTTTATAGACTGGTTCACTGAACCAAGGATAGAATCAGCTCATTGGCCCAAGGAAGGCAACACCTCTTGTAAACTTGTTCTTAGCAAAACATCACGGTCCTCAGGCACTCCTGTCCACAGCACCAGCTGCTAAACTTTGGTATTAATTCTTTCCCTTCTGTTTTCCTTTGAGTAGCTTGGGAAAAATCAAAGTGCTGTTTTCCCTGGCTCTCACCAGCATCCACACAAGAAAACAAAAAAACAACTTGTGGCTTAAACTGTAACATACTAACTTTTGTGATGAGAAAATAGTAACATAAATATAGTAATGTTAGTAGTTATAATAAGCTGAGGGTAAAAGTATTTATTGGTTGTCGTGTTTTAAGATGCTCTGCAATGAAAAGTCTATAATGAATGTAACCAAAACTAAAGTGGCTTCAAACAAACCTGCAGCTGTGGCTGGAGAAGCTGTGAGCTGGGCTCTTGTCACCCACAACCTGGGAATTGCTGCATCCTCTGCACACAATAAATGTTTTAAAGAGCCACCTAGAGCTCCCCTTTCAGCTCTTACAGTTATGGGTTTGTATCTTCAAAAGAGCTCAGCACTTATTATAAAGTTGTTCATTGTAAAGGCAAAAAGTCAAAAGGCAAAAAGTCCCAAATGTTCAAGTCTGTGCTAAAAGATTTTGGCATAGAGTCCCAAATAGAATGAAAGTCCTGATTAGAATTAAAGTCCCAAATAGAATGAAAGTCCCTGTTAGAAATAAAGTCCCTATTAGAAGTAAAGTCCCAAATAGAAATAAACTCCTGGTTAAAAGTAAAGTCCCCAATAGAAGTAAAGTCCCCATTAGAAGCAGAAGCAGCTCCTGAGAGGGCCAGAGCTGCAGGCTGGAGCAGAGCCCTGAGCAGAGGCTGTGGCTGGGGCAGAGTCTCCAGAGGCAGATGCTCCCTGCTCTGTTCTTTTGTTCTTTTTTCTTCTTCCTCTTCACGTGGTGCTAGTGATGGTGATGATGGTGGAGGAAGAGAGAGCCAGAGAGCTCTCACTCCAATACACAGATTCTTATTTACAAATTACCCACTGAGCCAAACCCACAACTCTGAAACGTTTCTTCTAAACCTATTAGAATTCTGGTTTTTTAATAGGAAAGTTTACATATATATGGCCTGTCTGTTCTGTCTGAAGAATGTAAGCAATATTCTTACTATATTTTTATTATGCCTAAAAGTATGTTTTTGAACTCTCACTAAAACTTGTTTTTCACACTAAATTCTAAGGCTTTTACTTCTTAAGGCACTTAAAATATATTCTTAATTAAACTTACTTAAAACTTAAGCCTGCACCTCTATTTCACGTATGAGTGGCTTAATATACTTTATTCCATCCAAAGGTTTTAATTCAAACCCTGCATCTGTTTTTCAGACTCCAGCACTGCCCACAGCCAGGGGCACAGTTAGGGCTGGCACATCCCTTCCTGTGGCTCCCCAGCTCAGTTTCTTGGAGAAACACACATTACTGGGGTGGGGAACCCCATTTCCCACACTTCTTAACCCAACTTTCAGCTTTTGATGTGCTGAAAATGGTCCCTGAGTGGTTTTAAGGCCCTCCCTGGGGCGGGTAGAGCCTGGAAAACAAATCCAGGAGGCCATGATGCTCACACCCTCTGCTCTGTGTGACACCAGGGTGTGACACTTCTTTGGGCATTTGCTCCAGCAGAGCAGGCAAAGGTGACAACGATGTCACCCAGCAAAGGCAGGTGCTGCCTCACTCCCACCCCTGTGCTGCTCCAGGTTTCCCTTTTCTTTTCCCTGGCAAAATCTTCCTGATCACAGGAACGAGGGGGCTCCTGCTGGGGGAGGTTTGTGCTCCTGCAGCTCCTGCAGCCAAACCTCCCTCCCTGCCAGCCACTGCTGGGGACTGAGGCTGCCACCAGGAGCAGGGACTGCCATCCTGGGCACCAAAACCTGCTTGGGAGGAGGATTAAAGGCACCAAACGCCTGCAAACCCACCAGGCTCCCTCAGAGAGATGAGAAATGAGGTGTGAGAGGGATTGAAGTGCAGGAGGAGGCGTCAGGATTCCTGGTTTCCCTTCCCTGCCCCACTCCAGGCTCTTTATCCAAACTGGGCTGTGTTCTCCCCTTTTTTAGTCTCTATTATTTTCTCCCCTTTTTTAGTCTCTGTTTTCTCCCCTTTTTTAGTCTCTGTTTTCTCCCCTTTTTTAGTCTCTATTTTCTCCCTCTTTTTAGTCTCAGTTTTCTCCCCTTTTTTAGTCTCTATTTTCTCCCCTTTTTTAGTCTCTGTTTTCTCCCCTTTTTTAGTCTCTATTTTCTCCCTCTTTTTAGTCTCTGTTTTCTCCCCTTTTTTGGTCTCTGTTCTCTCCCCTTTTTTGGTCTCTGTTTTCCTTTGCCTGGCTGAGGTTTTGCTGATTAGCCCTGGGGAGCATCAAGTGAAGGTTGTAAGTGCCCTGTGTTATTCTCACTCACATCCCTGCTTACAGACACCCTGTTCCCACAAAGCCTCCCTGTGTTAACACATTCCCAGCAACTTCTGGAGTCTTGGCATTGGAGTGAACCTCTGCCCACAACAACTGTGCTTTGTCAAAACTTTGCTCCAGGCTTTGATTCTTGGGGCCAAAAGCATCATTTTTTTCCCTGTTTGCCACTCAGGAGGGAGCTGGAGGCAGCTCTCTGAGCACCCCCACAACGATTCTCCAGAGAAATCCTGATTTTTGTGGCTGAGCTGGGAAGGAAAAAACATCACATTCATAGGAAAGCCAAGATGTGGGAGAAGTGAGAGGAATAAGTGGTTTCAATTTCCAGCTTTTCTAAACAATCACCCTGGATTGACAGGAACTGCAGCAAACAAGTGCTGGGGGGAGGATGGAGCCAGGGAAGCTGCTGGTGGTGTTGATTCCTTGAGATTATCTTGGAGTTTCATTAATTGGAGTGGAGCACTGAACAAACACCTCTGTGCTCCATGAGTGTAAGGAAAGCTCAGGGAATCTTCATCTCCTCAGCTGCTCTTTTCCTATAGCTCTGCCAGAACAGGGCTTGTGGGAGAAACTCCCATCCAAATGAGGGAAAAACCCCAAAAATGGCACTTTCTGCCCAGTTTTGTGCCTGGGAAGAAGGGAAAACCCTTTTGTGTCCACAGGGAGTTCTCTCATGCAGTCTGGAGTCACAGCTTGGGCACTGAGCCCAAGGGAGAGGGCATTGAATGTTCCAAAGGAAAGCAGCACCCCTGCCTCTGGAAGCTGGATTTGTTTCCCAGCTTAGGCATCAAGCATTGACTTTTTCCTTAATTATTCGTGCCAGTGTTGCAGCTCTCCTGGGGGATTTCTCTGGAGAAGTGTGAGTGCAGATGAGAGCAGAGCATTAAGCAATCCCACGCTCCACGTGCAGAATTCAGGATTTCATTCCCAAGGCTGAACTGGGAGCACGTGTTGGGGTGAGGGAGGCACTCAGGGCCCTGGAGGCTTTTCCTGTATGGCCAGAGCCTGGGAAGCTGCAGTTTGGGATGAGGAGCTGTTTGAGGCAGTTTGGCAATCCAGGTCTTCCCTCAGGAGACACCAGGGCCTTCAGCATCTCAGCAGCCTTTTACAGAATTATGGAATTATGGAATTTCCAGAGTCCTGGAATGGTTTGGGTGAGAAGGGACCTCAAAGCTCATCCAGTCCTACCCCTGCCATCAGGGACACCTTCCACAGTCCCAGGGTGCTCCAAGCTCTGTCCAGCCTGGTCTTGAAGCTTTCCTTAAGGGAGGTTGATTTTATCTTGGCTTTACTGAGCTGCAGGGAGATGGAAAGTCCCAGGGATTTGGGGAAGAGGCCAGGAGACGTTGGGCTCCCTCCAGGCTGCTCTGGCTTTTGTTTTTTTTTTTTTTAAACCTCCAGAACAGCCTTTATGAGCTACAAAATCCCTAATTTATGGATTAGGAACCCTTTCCCTGTGCACAAGCAGCTCAGCTGTGCTCTAGGACAGGAGCGCATTTTAACATTGTTTTCCTTTTTGCCCTTTGGCCATTCCTTGGGTAAGCAGTCGCCAAACTCCTTTATGTACAGACCCCTCCACCCCTCGCAGCCCCTGTGGGTGGGCTCCCAGCTCTGTGTCTCATGGACAGTTGTGTGTTTGCAGGGTGTGGAGAGAGGCCAGGGATCGCATCGTGGGCTTCCCTGGGCGCTACCACGCCTGGGACATCCCCCACCAGTCCTGGCTCTACAACTCCAACTACTCCTGTGAGCTCTCCATGGTGCTCACTGGTGCTGCCTTCTTCCACAAGGTGAGACCTCCCTGGGGCTGCCCCTTCTGCTCACAGCACCCCAGGCTGCAGCTTTGGGAGGTTGTGGGGTTTTTTTAAGGACAAGTTTGGGAGCTCTCTGCTGCTGTGCCCTCACTCTCTCCAAACTGCAACACAACCAGAACCTGGTGCTGAGTGCACTGGGAAGGATATCCAGAGGTTATTCCTGCCTGGCTGAATCCACAGCAGCAGAGAGCAGGATCTGAGGGGGCTGGGACCCCCATTCCTCGGTTTCTGTGGTTCCAGGACCGGGTGGTGGCTGTGGGAGAGTTGCTGCTGCTGTGGCTACAGCAGATCTTGGGATTAACTCCATTATGGGGAATGTCACCACTGGGATCCCTGAGTTTTGAGTCAGACACGTCCCAAATGTCCCAAATGTGTTGCTGTGCCCTGTGGAGCACCTGGAGAGCTTTGCTGTGCCTGTCCCCGTTGCAGTACTACGCATACCTGTACTCCTACGTGATGCCCCAGGCCATCCGGGACATGGTGGACGAGTACATCAACTGCGAGGACATCGCCATGAACTTCCTCGTGTCCCACCTGACCAGGAAACCTCCCATCAAGGTAAAGCAGCCAGGGGCTTGTCCCGGGGTTGGCATTGCTGGACAAGCTGTGGTTGGGAAGTGAGTGGTGCCTGCTCCAGGGAAATCCATCTCCGGTGGAAAGCTCAGCCTTTGGAATCAGCCAAATCCCTGCCACAGAGCAGGTGAATTGAGGTTTGACATTGCAGGGCTAAACCAGACTCAATTCCTGTCTGCTGAGACATTCCCTGCCCATGGCACAGATGATCTCTGCTCTGGGGCCAGGCTGGGAGAGCTGGGGGTGTTCACCTGGAGAAGAGAAGGATCCAGGGAGAGCTCAGAGCCCCTTCCAGAGCCTAAAGGGGCTCCAGGAGAGCTGGAGAGGGACTGGGACAAGACATAGAGTGACAGGCCACAGGGAATGGCTTCCCACTGCCAGAGGGCAGGGATGGGTGGGATAGTGGGAGGGAATTCCTAGCTGGGAGGGTGGTGAGGCCTGGCACAGGGTGCCCAGAGAAGCTGTGGCTGCCCCTGGATCCCTGGCAGTGTCCAAGGCCAGGCTGGATCAACCTGGGATGGTGGGAGGTGTCCCTGCCCATGGCAGGGGGTGGCACTGAGTGAGCTTTAGCTCCCTTCCAGCTCAATCCATGCTGAGAATCCTCTGTATCCGAGCCCCCTGGCAGTGCCCCAGGCTGGCACTGACACCTCTGTCCCTGCTGCAGGTCACCTCCCGCTGGACCTTCCGCTGTCCTGGCTGTCCCCAGGCGCTGTCCCACGACGATTCCCACTTCCACGAGCGGCACAAGTGCATCAATTTCTTTGTGAAGGTGTACGGGTACATGCCCCTGCTCTACACCCAGTTCCGCGTCGACTCCGTTCTCTTCAAGACCCGCCTGCCCCACGACAAGACCAAATGCTTCAAGTTCATCTAGGAATGGGAGCAGAGTGGGAGCAGAGTGGGAGCAGAGTGGGAGCAGCTGGACACTCCCAGCTGGCAGGAGAGGCTGGCACGGGGCTGCTTTGTGGGGCTGTGAGTGTTGTTTGCTGTGGACTCCGCCGGCAAACAGGACTGGGACGGGCACTTCCCTCCTTCCCTGAGCTCCCCCAGGGCTCACCCACACAGGGAATGGGATCCCATGGCTCCTGTAAGGACACTCCCATGTGGAGTGGGACACTCCCACGGATCGTACACTGAGGAATGGCTCGCTGGCCACTGGCTCTGCCCCTTCGCTAGCCAAGGGCAGCCGTTCTTTTTAATTATAATTATTGTTATTTAAAATGAAAGTGTTTTAGATTTGCCGCCTGAGGCGCTTTTTTGTTTTCTTTTCTTTTCCCTCCCCTCTCCCCACCCCATTTCCCCCTCTGGACCCTTCAGCCCATCCCAGGGGACCTAAGCAAGGCCAGGTTGGAGGTGTTTGGGTGCAGCATCAGGGCAGCTCCTGTCACCACTGCTGTCCCTCCCCATCCTTCCTCCCATGGCACAGCCCTTCCCACCCACCAGATCCTGGCTTCTCTTGCCCTGTGGCTACTACTGAGGCCTCTCAGGTGTCACCTGGTGAGGAGCCCTTTTTCTCTGCTCTGCTCTGCTCCCCACCCTGAGCCCCTGGAGAGGGGCAGGGTTGGCCTGGATGATCCTTCCTGGCCCCAGCTCTGGCCTGGTGCTGTTCCCCTGCAGCCCAGGGGGTTCAGTTGCTGCTGTCTCTGTTTTTTCCCACCTTGTCCTGCTGATCCTCTCAAGGCAAGGAGTGTGTTTGGGGCTTAGGGAAGATCCAGCAGCAGCAGCAGAGCCATGGCTGGGGGTGCTCCAGGCTGCTGGAGGCTCTGACCCTTCTCGGTGCTCAGCCCAGCCTGGGTGTGCCAGAGCTGCAATTCCTGCTCTGCCTTAACCCAGCCCAGCCTCACGCCCTGGCTTTGGGCTGTGTCTGAGGCTTAATCCCAGCAGGAGCTTTCCAGTGTGTGATGCTGCTGGGATCACATTCACAGCGTGGATTTGGAGCTGGTTCCTGTCCCTCAAAGCAAAATGCTGTCACATCTGTGACCCCCTGAGCTCAGCTGCTGCTCCATCCTGCTTCAGGAGGGAAGGGCACACCTCGTGTGATGTTCTCCCTCAGCACATCCCAGATGTTTGTGAGGTGGGAAGGTGACACTTGTGTGGTCACTTCGATGTCCCTGGATTTTCTGGATGTCACCCCTGGTGTGTCTCTGGTGTGTGGGAGCAGGGATGGTCCAGCAGCAGCTCCTGGGCTCATTCTCAAGGTCAGTCCTGTCCATGCTCCTCCTGCATCACGTTTTGGGGCCTCTCCAAACTCCTCTCCCCAGGTTTTCCCATCAGCACTGACACTTCCTTGGGGGAAGGGGAGGGAAGGAGCAGCCTGTTCCCAGCAGAGCCCATGGCTTGTGCCTTCACCAGCAGCACTGACCACAGCAAAACACAGATCAAGGAATCTTTTCCTATGTTTTTTTTCCTTTCCATTCCCTTTTTGCTTTAATATCAGATGCCCAAAATGCAGCACGTGTTACAGTCTCCTTAAAAATTCCACAGGAGAGGCCCTGGCACACCTGGAAGGATTCTTTTCCCTGCACAGAGTGGAAATGTGGCACTTAACAGGAGCTGTGTCAGCTCCAGCATTCCCGAGGGGCCTGAGCTCCTCTTCCTCGGCTTTAATTCCACCCTCATTAGAGGGGGTTCATTAGCAATGATGCTGTGGCTCAGGTAGAGCCCAGGCCCGGGGTCAGCTCTGCCTTCCCAGCCCTCCCAGAGCACGGAGTGATGTGGCCATGGACTGCACTTTATCCAAGCACAGGCATTGCTCACAGCCCTCAGGCTTCCCAAAATCCAAAGGGAAATTCCAGTGAGAGCCTGGGGGAACACGGGTGGGATGGGAAGTGCTGGCATTGCTGAATGGTTGGATGCTCAGGGTGTGGGAGCCCCAGGCTGGGAATTCTGCTTTCCCCTGCTGTGTTTAGATTCAAGGCCAGTTGAGATCAGGGATCAGCAGAACAAACCCAACTGTTCTTCCTCCCTGGATCTTTGGCCTTTTTCCCAAGCTGTTTTTTTTTTTTTTTTTGTTAGGAGGATCCCCCTGTCCATTGTGCTGGAGCAGGGACAGATGTGCAGTGGAATCTCTCTGCCTGTCATGGGATAAATTCCTCCTTTCTGAGCGCCCCTAAAAGGGGAAGGATTTGGGGGTGAAGGGGTAAAAAGGCTCATAAAGGGAGATACCTGGGCAGCAGCAGCGTTGGGAGGGGTGGGATTCTGTGAGAAAATGAAATGCCAGCAGGAACATCTTCCCCACCCACAGGGCTGCTGCTGCCCCTCCTGCTCATCCCAAACATCACCAAACTCCCTGGAGTTCAGGATTGGGATTCACAGCCCAGCTTTCTATTCCTGAGACACACCAGGACCTGAGCTGTCCTGAGGCCCCTCCACCAGGGAGGAGAGGGGCTTTTCCAGAGAGTGCTCCTGCCCGTGCCACCATCCCAAACATCCTTCCCTGCTACCACCCATCGTTCTCCCGGGATTTTCGGGGCATCCCAGGCTCACTCTGAAGCTCAGGTTTGGTTGTACGATCCATCCCAGCTCCTGGGGCCTCCACCACGCCAGCCCCGAGGAGCTGGGAAGGGGCTCTTGGCAGCTTTTCCCCCATTGCAGAATTTCTGCTGCTTCCCCCGGGCACGGAGCGAGGCCTTTCCCGCTGTAAATAGAACGAGTGAGGTCGTGTCACACGGCCCCTGCCCTCCCCTTGTGCCCACGGTGCCCTGAGCACCAGGATTTCAAATCCAACAGGAACTGAGAGACAAGGAACACTCCTTCGACACGAGCACAATGTTGAGTTTTTTGTAAAAGGTTCCAATAAATGGAGAGTTTAACTTGGGAGTGTCTCGGTGCCTCTTTGCTGGGGTTGGGAGAGGGGTTGGACCAGGATGGGGCTGTTGCTGCTCCTGGCCCTGGGACACCCCAAAACCAAAACCAGGCATGTCCTGAGCTTCTGTTCCCACTGTGCAGGTGAGCTGGTGTGGAATGCTGGAAGCTCCTCAAGGATGGCAGTGCCTGGAACCAAACCCCATCCTGTCCCTGGTGAGCTCAGGGCTGGGCCAGGAGAGCCCCAGGGAGGGGTTGGACCCTGAGTGGCTTCCAGGGATGTCCCAGCAGCTCTGGGGCTGCTGGTTGTGTGGATGTTTGTGGGCAATGAAACCTGCCCATCCCTGCTGGGGATCCAGAGCCAAGAACCTTTGGGGACAGTTCCTGTGGCATGGCTGGCTCAGGATGCTCCTGGTCCCTCTCCTGTGCAGGAGGCTGAGCTGGAAAAACCAAAGGGATCCACGAGGTTTGTAAGCAGATCCCCAGCTTCAAACCTGCAGGGAGGAGCAGAAGGGAGGAATGGAGCCAGCTGGGCCATGAGCCATGGGATCTCCTCCACCATGGGATCCCCTTCACCATGGGATCCCCTTCACCATGGGATCCCCTTCACCATGGGATCCCCTTCACCATGGGATCCCCTCCACCATGGGATCCTCTTCACCATGGGATCTCCTCCACCATGGGATCCTCTTCACCATGGGATCTCCTCTACCATGGGATCCCCTCCACCATGGAATCTCCTTCATGCTGGGCTGGGAATCCCCCAGGATTTCCTGCATGTGTCTGGATTTCTTCTCTTCCTTCCTGCTTTTGTTTTTTGCCCTCTCTCCTGAGCAGCTGCTTCCTCCATGGTCACTTTTTACCTCTGTTGTCACTTTTCACCTGTGTGTTTCCTGCCCTTGCTGCTGCTCCCACTGGGATTTGTGTCCTTTCTTTTCCCTTCTGCCTTGGAGTAAGGCTTGGTTTGTGCTTGGGTTTGTTTGCAGGAGAGGTTTCAGAGAAACCCCAAAGGATTTTGGTTCTGGTGGATGCTCAGCCTCCCAAAGCCTGTGATCTCTCCCCAAAATAGGACAGGGGGGCAGGGCCATCACTGGCAGGGCAGGGCACAGAATTCCTCACTGCAGGATGCCCCTGGCAGCAGCAGTGGATGCTGCTTTGGGATCTGCCTCTCAAACGAGCCCAGCAGCACCGTGGGCATGGACTCAGCTGGAGCTGATTTTCTCCTGAGGCTTTTCCTGAGATAAAAATCTCCTGATCAATATTTTTTCCTGCTGTAACTGCTGTGTTTGGTGAGGGGAGCCAGAGCTCTGGTTCCATTTCTCTGTGTTAGGGTTTGTACCCTGGGACAAGGAAACAGAGGTGATCAATCCTGTTAATCATTCATTCATTCATTGCCTGCTCCCAGGAGGGCAGGGTGAAGTGCTTTACACTCCACTCCTCTGCACTACAAAGTGCCCTTGATTTTCCCTTTTTGGATGATGCACTCCTTGATAAATAACAATTTCACTGGAATTATGAATTTATGGCAGTGCCATAAAAGCCACCAGCTCCTGCTGGACCCAGGAAAGGACCTGCTGCCACCCCTTCCCAGGTAACTGGTCCCAGCTGATGGGTCCTTCAGGGAGGACCTGTCCCCTTCATGGTCTTCAAGGGATTGAGGTCACAGTCCATGGATCCTTGAGGGATGGGGTCACAGTCCATGGATCCTCGAGGGATGGGGTCACAGTCCACGGATCCTTGAGCAATTGGGGTCACAGTCCATGGATCCTTGAGGAATTGGGGTCACAGTCCATGGATCCTTGAGGGATGAACTCACAGTCCATGGATCCTTGAGGGATGAACTCACAATTCATGGATCCTTGAGGAATTGGGGTCACAGTCCATGGATCCTTGAGGAATTGGGGTCACTGTCAATGGATCCCCAGGTGACAGCTCACCTGTGACCCATCAGATCCCACCTTTCCCACCAGGAGCCTGCCCAGGCCATGATGTGCAGCCAATCCCAAACCCCTCTGCTCTCATTCCCACTCCTCCCCAAGGCTGAGCTGCTGCTGGGGCAGTTTCCAGTTTCCCTCTGCTCCTCCCAGTGGTGACAGACCCCAGTGCCAGTGACTGAGTCTGGGCAGGGACCTGGCATTAACTGACCTGGTTTGTGTTTTCATTGGGTCTCACGTTAATGGAGAGAAAACACAATAAACTCTACCCAGGAACAGCTGTTCCATAAAAGCCATCCAAGAGCAGAAATCTGATTTTTACCTTTCCTCTCCATTATTCCTGTGGGAGCACAAGGTTGGGAAGTCACTGGGAATTAATCACTTGCCACACCCCCCATTAATTGTGTTTAATGAGGGGAGCAGTGGAGAGAGGCTGCAGCAGCTCAGGGAGGGATGTGGGATCCAGGGAATGGCCACAGCACAAGGAACCCACATGGGGGCCAAGGGATTTATTTTCCCTTCTGGAAGAAGGAGAGTGAAACCAGGAATCTTTGCTGTTCTTTGGCCATTAAACTGGGAACTTCTGGATAAAACCTGGATTGCATCCATGGTAATCTCCTCCCTGGGCTGCCACAGTTCCCTCTGTAGGACTGAGCCAGCCCAAAGAAATGCTGTTTGTTTTTCTCTCTCTATGCAGAAGGAACAAGCATTTCTTTTTCCACTTTAATTAGGGTTTCTCATTAAAGAATTCCCCTCCCAGAATGTTTGTTTTTCCAGCAGGCACAACCTGAATATAACAAAACCAATCCACTCTCAGCTGCTGGACTGATGGAACAACAAGAAGTTTTCCTGCTCAAAATGACAGGAAGAAAAATGTCAAAGCTTTTAATTTTTACTTTCTCCCCCTGAGGAGGTGGGAAAGCCTTGGGAATGTGAAAAGGAAGGGACTGGAGCAGTGGGATCAGTGCTGGAGCTGAGGTAACCAGCAGAAAGATGAGTTTATTCCATGATCTCTCTGGGTTAGGAACAATCCCTTTGGAGTTTCTTAAAGTGGAATTATCCCAGTTCTTTTACTCTGGTTAAGTGATGCTAAAGCAGCAAACCTGTAAACCCTGATGAGGATTTAATTCCACTGCCCCAAGCTTTTCATGTTGCTGACACCACTCCTCACCTGTGGCACACACAGAATAAAGGTGTGGGTGCTGGGATCTGCACACCCAACCCAACAGAAATCCTTCATGGCAGTGAAATGGGATGGGGACACTGCAGTGGCAAAGAGATTTTATTACAGAGCTGCTTCCACTGCCTCCATCTCCCCAGAAGGATGAACTGGAGGAGCAGCTTTATTTCCCAAAGGTGTCAGGACAAGGATGTGGAATGGACATGGAGAGGCTTTTATAAACCACGGGATGTGCTCCCTCCTGGGCAGTCTCACTCTGCTTTTTTATTTTTTAACACCAAATAAATACAAAACAGTCCAATAAAAAATGAACAGCAGTAAATCTGAGAAATGGGTCGCCTTTAAAAGCAATATTATTGACTGAGGTGAGGCCCCAAATACGTGATTTGGGGAGGGAAAAGCCTCCCCAGGTCTGCAGTACTGATGGCTTTGGATAAATTACTCAGAATTCCACCCAGGATTTGGGATGGGGGAGCTGCAAGGACGAATTTTTTGGAAGGTAGAAACAAGAGGCACTTAAATCTTGAAAGGTTTTTTATGAGCATTAGGAATTCTCCTACTTTATGGACTTCCCTAAGTGTCTTCCTGAGCTGTTTCCTCCACTGCTGATGGAGGAACCCAGGAGGAAGCAGGGAAGGGCCTGGAGCTCCAGGAATGGATCTGGGTGTAACAGGTGAGGCTGCAGCGTCAATAAACACTTGAATTCCTAAGGGATAAAGCTTTTCCGAAGTGCCTCTGCTTGTGCAGGGAATGGCCAGGCTCTTCCCACTATCCTCCATGTCCACCAGACCCCCTTTTCCCATTTTTATTTGTACAATCTTTGCCTCACCAGCTCTCCCCTCCTTGTGAACACCACGCAGGGAAGAGAGGCAGGGAATGGGCTCTGGGGACTGGGAAGCAGCAGTGGGAGGAAAAAGGCCATTGTTTCAATATTCCTGCAGAGTTCTGGCAGGTGAAGGACTGGGGCAGACACTGCTGAGGGACACAGAGGAGCAGCAGTTCACCCTGATGTTGTAAATAAACACTCCAGTTATTTACTCTGCAGTTCCTATTTCCTGTAAGATTCCCAGCTCCCAATTTTACACAACAGGAATCTCCTCCAAAGTATTCCAAAACAAGTTAAAAATAAGATTTAAAAAATAGATATTAAAAATACTCCCTTGCTCCTCCATGAAGGGGAAGGTTTCTGGTCTGTCTGAATCACAGAATTCTCTCTCTCTCTGTCCTTGGACAGCTCCAAGTTCTGCTGCTCCAGGCTCTCTCCTTGCAGAGCCTCCTGATGTCCACGAGCTAAAATTTCTGCAGGAATTTGAGCACCAGGTCCCGCAGTTTGACCCTCAGGGGCTCATCATTGTCACAGATGATGTGGGTGGAGTCCTCCTCCAGCTGGATGAGGGTCTCTGCCTCCTGCAGCAGCACAATGTGGCCCTTGGCTGTGTCCTCCACCTTCACGTCGCTGAAGCCGTGCTGGGTTTGGGGTGGGAGAGGGACAGAGAGGGAAATTCCATGGAATCACAGATTGGTTTGGGTAGGAAGGGACCTTAAATCTCATCCAGTGCCACCCCCTGTCACAGGGACACCTCCCACTATCCCAGGTTGATCCAAGTCCATCCAACCTGGCCTGGGACACTTCCAGGATCTAGGAGCAGCCACAGCTTCTCTGTGCCAGGGCCTCCCCACCCTCCCAGGGAACAATTCCTTCCCAATATCCCATCCATGCCTGCCCTCTGGCAGTGGGAAGCCATTCCCTGTGTCCTGTCCCTCCATGCCTTGTCTCCAGTCCCTCTCCAGCTCTCCTGGAGCCCCTTTAGGCACTGGAAGTCTGCAATCCTGCCCTTTTCCCTGCCAATTATGTCCAATTATCTCCTGCAGGTGAGAATATGACTCCACAGAGCAGCAACCAAATTTGTGCAGCTTCCTCAGGAGGCTCCTCCACCAGTGGAGACATTTCTAGGATCTGTTCTTCACTTGGTCACCTTCTCACAAATCTTGTGGAATCCACAAATCACCCACCCAAAATCTCTGCTTCCATGGGAAACAGGAGGAGATCACTGACATGAACCCCACACAGCAGGACACGGCTCCACAGGGAACAATTCCCTCTATTCTGAAGTGCAGGGACACCCTGGAGCACTTTGGGAACTCACTGGCCTTTCTCCATTTCAAGCTACACTAAAATGATTTTTCCCCTCTCTCTGCTACCAAAGCAGCAGATCTGAGATGTGCAGAAATCTGCTGGAATCCCACCTGCCACTGAAGATTCCTCACCTTCTCCAGAGTCTGCACAAACTGGTCCACAGGGATGGAGCCACTCAGCAGAGGCTTCAAAGATTTGCACTCGGGCACATCATCACTCACCCGCTTCCTCTTCTTGCTGGCAGGAGGTTGGGGAGGTTTTGGAGGCAGCTGGTGGATGAGAAGGAAAAAAAAAATTATCACACTCTGAAGAATGCAACAGGTAGGGAAACAGGTAAATTCAGAGCAAGCAACTACTCAGGGAATGAGAATGTGGCTTAGCTGCAGCTATTTATGAGGACTCAGGCATTTTAAGCCCAGGTCTAAGTTTATTTGGCAGCAGGAATGAGTGGAGAAGGGAGTAAATGAACAACAGCAGCCTCAGACAATTCCATTGCAACATTTCAATGTTTCCAGCACTGCTGAGGGTTTCCAGGGAAGCAGCTTGGGAAGAGGAGGGCAGCCTGTCTGCTGTGCTCTGACAGAAATCCTCACCCAGCCTTCACCTCCCTGACATTTCCACACTGGGCTCTCTTCCCGAGTGTCCTGGGCCCAGCCAGCTCTGCTGCCCAGTGTGGGAAGGGTTGTTCAGTGAGGCCCTGCAGGCTCATGGAGCTGAGGGAAAGGGGAGCAGGGTCTGAGCAGGCTCTGGGCATCACCTCCTCCTGCAGAGCTCTCATGCCAGGAATTCCAGTGCCAGCCTGCAGGGGGTGGCAGGAAGGGAGGGTACAGAGACGTACAACCTCCCAAGTTTGATGTCCCAGGTCATCTCTCTCCTCTAAGCCTTGATCCTGAGAGGTTGACTGACCATGGAAGACAGCAGGATGATCTGTAGCCTCTCTTCAGGAATTATCTCATTTCCCCTTTTATCTCAGCAAGGCACATGGCCAAGGAAAAGAGGGCACAGAGATTTATCTGCATCCCACTCCTTGCTCTGGGTGTAATTCCTCACCTGCACATGCCAGGGCAAAGCCTCTGCCCAGGGCTCTGCTCCAGAGGGAAGGAGCTGCAGGAGGGGTTGCTGGGGTCCTGGATGGCAGCAAAAGCCAAAATAAGGATATTTTTCTCCCTTTCCCATTAGACTGTACCTGCAGCACATGCTTGTTGTCCTTAGTATGCAGCACAGCAGAAACTGTTGCCAAGGAAATACCAGGCTTGATCTCCAAGGGCACGAGGGAATCTGCAAGCTGAAGCAAAAGGAGATTTTGTTCAGCAAGTGATCAGCTCGAAACGTGCATGAACCCAGCTGTGAGATAAATTGGCAGTGTGGTATTTTTAAACATGGGCTAATGAACTGTAAACACAAAGCCACTGATAGACTGAGAGCTCCTCGGACCTGCCCAGCCTCCTTCCAGCTCCCAAAATTATGGATTTCACACCATGAGCAGAGCAGCACGAGGTTTGCAGGAAGCAGGGCTGGTCTCAAAAACCATAATAAGCACAGAGAACCCTTGTGTGAAAAGACAATTGCTTCATTAATAATTTTAGTCAGTGAAACTCGTGGTCTAATCCAGCATTATTATGTTTGTTATGCTGATGGACAATGGAAAATCAAAGTGAGTTTCCTTTCAGTTCCTGACTGCAGAATATCTGGAATAAGAAGGGTTTGTCCTTAAAACCCCAGTGTTTTCAATCAGCCCACTGCTGATTAGTTTGAAATGATTCCAACAATGCTGCACAAAACCCTTCCCACTGCCTTTTATAATTCTTCCCTGAAAGACATAAAATTTAGTCTTGGCTTGGAGTTTGGATCTAACACTGCTGGCAGTGCCTGGAGTGGGCAGTGCTGCACCTGCTGAGACCAGTGGAAGTTGGCCAGTTGGGAAGCACCTCTTCCAGCCACCCTTCCAAAGGAATTCTGCAGAAAACAGTGCTCATGAATGGAGAAAATGATTCCCTTTTTTCCCTCCAAGGGAATTCAAGGTGCCAGGATGTCTAATCCTTTTGCCATGAAAGCACTGAGAGGGTTTTTCTGTTGGCTTCGATGGTGGCAAAGTTCTTTTAATAAGTTCTGAAAATCTCACCTGCCACTGTTAAAGCTGCAGGAACATTTTGAGAGCAGCTCCTTGGAATAAAGCAGTTGGTGTGTTGGAAAAACACAGGCTGCATTTAAAGTCCCTAAATTTTGTCTGTATTCAGCCATGGTGAATCCTAGAAATCCAAATCTGATGGAGCAGTTCAGCTCACTGTTACTCTGGGACTCTATTGAAGATCTTTAAAACAGGCAATTTGAATATAGCCTTTATGGTTTGCTGTTGAAGGCAAAGAGAATGAAAATATAATGACAATCATTGCTTCAGATTTCTCCTGGGACCTAAAAATAGCAGCACTTGCAGCAGTGAATTCTGCTGCCTTCCCTGTGGTTGAAGGCACTTTCCATTCCAACCACCTTCCTGAGGAGGATCAATACAAAACAGGCTCTGATGATGAGCAAAGTGACAAATCCTGTGAAGAGAAAGATCCTTAAAGAACAAGGAATGGCTTGGAACCAAAGTCTTCTCCTGCCTGCCACGGAAGGATTTTGGTATTAACATTTCTGCAGGTTTTAAACAGGCTAAAGAGCAACACTTGGATTATTTACAGTCAGAAAGACAGTAGGACAGGCATTCATTTTTATTTCCTTCCCAGCTCACAGCCTTCTCCATGTGGCAGCCAATCCTTTCATTATAGAAACTCAGTGACCCAAACCAAAAAGGTCATTTAATCACATCCAGTAATTCACCCACCAAGGCCAGGCAGCACTGCTCCACTCCTTTCAACTGACCTCCTGCACACACAAATCACAGAACTCCTCCAAAAAGCTGCATTAAAGAAACCCTTTTCACACAGGCAGCAAGTCTTGTCTGAACTCCAAGCTGTGGCAACTCCACGGTTTCCCCTCACAAGTGGTTTCAAACTTTAATTCTCCTGGCAGCCAGGAAACCTTGTCTCATTTCAAGGTTGAATTTGTCCAACTTGCAGAGGCTGGCTCTTGTTGTGCCTTTGTGTGGGAGATTGAAAAGCCCCCCACCATGCAGGAATAAATGAGTCTTCCTTCCAGTCATTATCCCGAGCCTGATGTCACATGCTGGCACCAAGAAAGCCACCAAAGCAGGGACACTGAGATCTAACACCACATTAATCAGTCTCCTGCCCAAGGATGAGCACTTGGACTGCCTTGGGATAAATTTGGGGGGGGATGTGTGCACTATTTCAGATTTTAGCTTGGGATCTTCTCTGCCTGTGATCAGAGCTGTCTGCCCACGCTAAACCAGAGGAAAGATATTTTTACCATGAAGTCTTTCCTGTAGGGTTGCATTTTCCACCCCAAAAGGGGATTTGACACACATCCTGTGAGCACAAACACTGCTGTTGGCCAAACTAAAGATATTAATAAAGAACAACGTGGGTTAAGTCACTTTTAAAGACTCTCCTAAAAGCTTCAATGGGGACAATTCTCCCCAGGTTTAAGTTGTCTTCAGTCACCAGCCAAAAATCCTCTTGTTGGCAATGAGGGGCTGAACAACCACTGAGGATGGGACATGAAACTCCACAGTAAAAATAAAATGAGGCTAAATAATCAGTGAATAAAATCAAGGCAGGACCAGACTTTGAGCACACATGGTCTTGTCCTGTGGAGGATTCTCCCAGGGACAGACATGCTGGATTGTACAACAGTATTTTAACATCCCAGTAATTTCTTCTTAGATTTTTGGGACATCTCCCCAAACTCCTCCCTTTTCCCTTTTTTCCTCTGGCTTACACTGGAGAGGGTGCAGAAAGCTGACCCTGCAGGGAGAGGCAAAGTTTGGGCTGAGTGAGGTGAGCTGGATATGGAGAACAAGCAGGAGCACAGCAAACTGACCAGCAGTTAAAATCCCCTGAACTTTTAGGACCTGAAATCACTGATGTGTACATTAGATTCTAGCATGTGTATTTAGAAAGAGGGTCAGATGGGTTTTTACACCATTAAATGTCTTTTCCAGATTTTCAAACTGCAGAAATGTGGGATCTCTGCATTAGAGGTGGGATCAAACCAGAGATGCACATGGGAAATCCCAAACTGTGGATTTTTCTGGCAGTCCTGAGGTGGGGAAAGCACTGGTTAAAGGCAAGAGATTCCCAGGCAACTCCTGGGCTGCTACTGCAATTCCTGAAGGGTCATTCTTGAGCCTAATCCCAGTTTCCATTAATGACCTCAGGACAGAACAAGGAGGAGTGTTCAGAAGTTTGTAGGGCACCTTTAACAGAAAGCAGGACCAGGCTATAAAAGAGGAAAAACTCAAAAGATCTCAAGAACTGGAGTGAAAAAAACAAGATGAAATTCAAGAGCACAAAATGAAGGCCTAGGATGGGGCTAACACTGAGAATTTCTGCTGTGGACTGGCAGCTGCTGCAAAGGACAGAGATGAAGGGTTCAGGTTTGTTAGTCCATCCCAGGAGAGTCACAAATGTGACATGGCCATGAAAAAGCTAAATGCAAGCCCAGAAATTATCAGGTAATTCTCTCTGAGATGAGTTCTCGTTCTTATATTGGGCCTGGCAAGATTTTACCTGAACTACTTGTAAATTGTGGGTAATTTCAATTCAAGTAAGAGATTCTGAAGGGTAGATTTGGGCAGGAGGAGCTGTCTTGTAAGGAGAAATGAAATACCTTGGCTTGTTTAGCCTGGCAAAAAAAGAAAGCCAAAAGGAGAATTTGATTATTCTACATAAACACCACAGGGAAAAATACCAACAAAAAGGAAAATGTATTTATGCTCAAACATGATGTTAGGAATAAATGTGTGCAGGCCAGCAGTGAATATGTGTAGGCTGCAAATTAGGATGTTTCTAGAGACAGTGGGGACTTGAACAGCATCTACTGGGAGCAGCAGGGGAAAAAGTCTCTGCAATTTGAAAACCTTACAAGTTTTTGAGGCACATTATAAACACTGTTGGTAACTGCAGCTGGCTTCTGGCCACGAGGGCACTTCCATTTCTAGGTGGGAATGATGGAATATAACTTTGCAATTCCCACCCAGATCTCAGTCCCTGAATAGGATAGAATTTGTATGGGACAAAAAAAATCCCCTGCCAATTATTAGAGAAGCCCAAGGATTTTAAAATCTGCCTGAGTTCAGAGAAAGCCCTGAAGATCACACCTGCAGAGGTTTTTATAGTAACTACTCCTCAACAAAATCTGAATGGAGAACCTGCCTCATCCTCCATCCCTCCACTCCCCTGCTCCTCACACACACCAAATCCAATTTCTGGGTGCAGGAAAGCATTTTTAATAGGATAAAAATTGCTTCAAGGCTGTGCAGTAGCCTTTTCACAAGCAGGGAGGATGTGTAGAGTCAGTACTGTAAGCAGAATTAAAACCATGGTCTTTGCCATGTCACTTAAATTTGGATGGTCAGGAGAGAAGGATAATTTCCCTCACCTCTTGTTTCCTTGCCTCCTCTTATCCCTTAATTTTTAAAGGAATTGAGTTACTAATTAATTAATTATTTAGGTATCAGGAGTCTCCAGCAGATCCAGCCTTGGTTTTAAGGTCCCTGCTGAACCAAGGGCCAAGTGCAGGAATCCTGCAATTGTCAGATCCTTCAGAGGGACAAAAAAATGTGGGGTCAAACACATTTAAAGGGTGAAGCAGGAACTGAAATGTGTCTGTGGGTTTGTGACCAGCAGGCACAGGGAACAAGGCACAGGAATGCTGCAGGCAGGATGGAAATTGGGGAATTTTGCTAATGAGACCTAAAGGAACAAAGGCTTTTCCACCAGAGAACATCCCAGAAATAAAAGGCATCTGTAGAATCATTAGTGGGTGATCTGAGTCAGGTCTGGTTGGGCTTTCAGCCTCACATTTGACACAATCCAAGGGTTTAAATTCAGCTGCTGAGTTAACCCCAACTTCACAGAGCTGTCACTGACTGGGGGTGTCCCACAGCTCTCCCTGGAGCAGATTTTAAAATCTCATTAGCTTCAGTGGGTAAAGAATCCTACCATGAATACCTAAAAGATTTTGCTATTCTCACTTGCAAAAGCCCAGATCTTGCCTTTGGGCTTCCACAGAGCCAACGTCCAGTGAAGAAATAAAAGAAGCACGAGGTGCAGTCTGCAGTTTTGAGCAATTAATTCAAACTCTTCTTTTCCATGGGCATATGTTCCACAGGCAGCTACTGGATCAGGGCTCCAGATGAGCAGGAGAAATCTCAAACCACAA